TAGTTCGGATAATCGAGGTTCTACTGTATATCTTTATAGGAATTATAGTTAAATGCAGTAGTATACTATTCAAAGAATTTTGATTCAATACAATGGTGAAACTTCTTTATTGAGGTCTGTGGGAACAATGTTTTTGAAGGCCCTATTATTATACTTTTAACCCCATTTACTAAAAAATGCTGTTAATTTTTTTTAAATAAAAAAAATKCCCTTTATTTTTCTACTTATTACTCGTGAATTATTTTTTGCCTCTCGAAAATATTTTTTGTTTATACTTAGATTTCCAATTGGTTATTCCTAGTATTATAAATATAAAGTATTATTAAGTCGAAAAACATTGGATATTCTGGAAAGTAGTTTTAATCAACATAAATCTATTCCTAGATACAATCGCCGCGCGCCGGGCGTTTGTATTTCATCAAACATAATATCATTAGAGCATGTAATATTCAATGTAGTAATAACTAATTATAAAAAATAATTAGTTTGGTTTTGATTAATTTCTGAATTTTATACAAACATATTTAACGTAACGTAGGACAAAAGATTGTTTTTTTGCATATTTTTTGAATATTTTTGTAAATTCAATGCATAATGCAAAATTTTTTATCTATCTATCTATCCGTTTATAATCTATATACATCTATATATAAATGGATTTCTGCCTATCTGTATTTTATGCATTCCTAACTGGCCGGACCGATAGTGACGAAATTTGGAACAGATTGTGAGAATCCGGAGCTTTTTAGGGCTCCGTAAAACACCCACGACAAAAGGGGAACACTCTTGCCGTRACCTAYGAGCCGCACCGCGTGATGACCCGAGGGCCAAGTCGGTGGAGCTCATAGGCTTTGTACACGCAACGGCAAATGAATGMCGAGGATTTATTTATTTAAGGGGAGAAAAAGATAATATTAAAGAATAATAAGAATAATGATTTTGGTTATTAAGACAATATAATAGGTTGGCATGACATGTGGTTAATATTTGACATTATTATAATATAACAAAATGTTCATCATAACATAGAGACGTCGGTCGAAAAAGAATACCGGCCAGGTACAGCGTAGTTGAAGAAGAAAAAAAGAAAATGATTTTGTTTTGTCGGAGACCCGGCGACGGCGGTGGCCTGGTGCCGGGCGGCGGAGCTTTTCGATGTTGGTGGGGCAGGTCAGTGTCGTCATATTGTGGGAATACATCATATTCGGGGAGATTTCAGCATCGTTCCGCCGGTGCGGTGCCGCCGGACGCGACGAAAGCGCCGACAGCAACGACGGCCGTGTGTGGCGACGTGTGGACACCGTACACTGCGGGTTTGTGGGGGGCCAGGGGAYAATTATTACATAATACTGCSGTCATTTCTGCATTAGCGCGCGATAGTCATAATAATATATAAATAAGGTATGCTAATTAGTGAAACTATGGGTACAGGTATGTTTGTTGTAATAATCATATCAGTGCAAAAAAAATGCTGTGACGTTACAAGATATATATTAGACCTATGGGCAGATAATAGACTTAGTTAAAAAGCGATAGGCCCAAAAAGGAAACGAATTTAACACATAGCTTGAGACATATAAGAGATAGGATTTTTAACGGCCTACGAAGTGTACGGTTTCAGCTAGTTACATATAAATCATAGTCCTACTAATTATTAATAATTATAGAATATTTACGTACCRTGATCTCGAATGTAAAAAATTGACCTAGATATTTTACTATCAACGTCACGAACGGCAGCCGAACACCCATAGAATCTTTAGGATTCAACGGACAGGTTATACAACACGCGTTCACGTTTTGGGACTGGATCTGAAGCACGTTGGACTTAATTTCGTCGTCATGGACTTGTTTTATTTCTCCTCCTTTGCACTGATAGCACCAGTAGAAATGATCATGACAACGGTGATCAAGTTATGTTACAAATAAGCATTTTACTCATTCAGTTTACATCACTTTTTTTTWAAAAAAAGCATGGAAACAAATGTTGGTGTTTGCCGTTATAAATTAAAAATAATTATTGTCACATATAAGAACGAAGTTAATCTGGTAATAATATGTGATTTAAACCTGAAGAAAATAAGTATCTACCTAAGGGTCGYGACACACTACAGCGGTTTTGACGCGCGGTTTTCCATCGCGCGGTTTCAACGTGCGATATGCACGTGTTACACTAGCGCGGTTTGCGCGCGTTCACTACGCG